CTCAACGGGGGTGATGGGAGTATGCTGAGGGGCGGTGAACTTGTTTTGGGCGGTAGGGGGGCGATGAGCATGTTTTGTCATTCAAATTTAATTTTAAAACTTACAAATAAAATTATTGAATTAAGATTTATTTAATAAATAAAATTAATTTAAAATTAATATTAAAGAAAAAAGATTAAATTAATATAATAAATAAGGATTATCCGATACACCGTTGTACCAGCTATAAAACGAACTTAAAAGACACCTATTCGAACCAACACAGCTCAGCGCATGAGTCAGTAGTTTTTGCCTCTGACTTATTCAAGCCATTTGGTGGAAATTGAAATGCATACGCTTTCAGTATGAATGTTTGACTGGACCCGTGTTACTTAAGCTTCCTTGCGGTTTTTTGCCCAGTTTCGATTAGATCTCATAGTTAATTTGGCCAGGTACGCGCGCGAATTAGTTCTTTATCATAAATTATTTATTAATTTTGAGAAATAGTTGATTCTCTTTAAACTTTTGTATTTTGCTTACACTAACAATGTCGGTTGACAAAAAGAAGGGTCATCAATACAGTGCCACGTGCTTGAAGTTGGGATTTGTTCAATCACTGTTGAACTCTCAATTACCCATGTGTTTACTTTGTAATAAAGTTTTATCTAATGAGGTAATGAAATCATACCGTTAGCAGCTGCATTTGCAAAAAACTCATCCTGACAAACAAAATATTGATTTGTCATTTTTCTCAAACACATCTTGTTTCATGTTTCTGAGGGTTCTCTGAGGGTGACACCTTCTTCTCTCGCAGCACATACAGTGACTGACGCACTATATCACAACATCATACTTCGATATGGGCCGCCCAGCATGTATTTATCAGACAGAGGAACTGCGTTCACAGCGCGCCACACACAGCCCTTTTTACAAAAGTATGGAATACAACAGTCCATGACACCACCATATTCACCACAAGCTAATAGCATTTTTGAACGCGCCAATGGTGTCATTGCATCAACTTTGAGAAAAATAATTGATGGACATCCAGAAAAATGGGATGAATTATTACCTAACGCTTTACTAGCAATCAACACCACACGACAAAATTCAACTAAAAGATCCCCATTTTATTTGCTTCATGGATATGAACCACGCCTTCCACGTGAATTGCACATTGCAAGTTTCATCGATGACACGCCACGTGAAGATCAACTTGACCTTCTTACTTTAGCCAGGGCCGAAGCCGTAAATAATGTGTACGAAAAACATCTAGATAATAAGCGCAGATTCGATCTTCATCGTCGATCACATTCATTTAAGACAGGAGATCTCGTCTTGTACGACTGGCCTAAACAAGGAGATCATAAACTTTCTCCCATTTATAGAGGACCGTTTCTGATTGTTCGTCCAGTCGGGGCCGTATGCTACGAGATCAAGTCTATGGATCAAAGAAAGAATCTTTTGAAAGTTGTTCACGTACAACATCTTCGTCCATATCACATGCGAGATACGCCAGTCACCCAGGAAGAAGAGAGCTCGGAAGAAGAGGAAGAATCAGTTTCCGAATTACATCCAGTAGAAAACATCCAGGATTCTGAAAAT